CATATAATTTAAAATAAATTTTTTCATATTTAAATATTTATAAGTTAATTTAAATTTGACTTGAAATTTGATTTGAATTTGACTCAACTCAAATAAATTCAAGTCAAAATTGAGTTGAGTTAAACTCGAGTTGAGTCAAATTGAGTTGAGTTTAAAATTTATATAATTCAAATCAAGTCAAGTTGGAAGATTTTATAAAATAAATTTGACTCAACTCGACTCGAAAAAAACGAGTTGAATAGAGTTGATCTTTAAACTTGACTCAACTTAACTCATTTGAAACTCTACATATACATAAAAGATAAAAGAGAGAATCCAGATATATTAAATATGATGATTTGATAGTTTGTGGTTATTATTCTGATGAACTAAAATAGATATTTGTAAAATACATATATGACATAATTTTAAAAGATCCAAGAGTGCTATATTATGAGAATATTTAGTTTAGCTATATTTCTCTTAAAAGAATTTTAAACATGATATCATTCTCATCAGAAAGGAGTACTGTTATTATTTTTGAGGACTTGTGTATTGTCTCAGAATATATATAAAATCAAATTATCCCTTTCTTTACTTATGGACTTCATAGAAATATCTCACCTTTTTATGTAATATAACGTTATCATTGTATACTAATAATTATTTGTGAGAATATTTTCCATTTAATAATATTTAATGGCAGAAGTTCTTCTCAAGATATTTCCAAAATTATTCTAAAGATGTGAAAAGTGCATCCATAGTTATTAAAAACTATCTTCGAAAAGGTGAGTTTATTGTTTTTGATCTAAATAAATCAGACAATGATCTACTTACAATTCAATTAAGATTTAATACTACTCTATTAGATCTGCAAGGTGAGATAGAATTACAAGAAAAGTGCAAAAAAGATAAAAAAATTCTTATCAGATCTTAAAGATTCATGACTTCTGAAAATCTGGTAATTAAAGTTTTGATTTTTTGTTAAAGAATCATCTTTTTGCAATGAAAAAGTTGATAATAAATGATACTTATGCAATTGCTGAAAAACGTGATAGGTCTTGTCTTTCAACCAAGTATATTAATTGTTCACCTTTATTATGATGTTGTGCTAAATATCACAAATGGATAGCTTAACAATATAAAAAAAATGATAAGACATAGTGTCCATATTGTGCAGGCAATAAATCTCTTATAATTGAAAATGCAAGGCAATTAGCTCATAGTAGAATGGAACATGTATTTCTACTGAATATATATTAATGTTAACACTCCAATGCAGTGGCGATATGCAAATGGTCATGAGTGGACTACATCTCTTAATAATATCAAAAATAATAATACATGGTATTTATATTATATAAACAAGGTCAGTCATACAATCAAAGATGCTATGCAAGTTGCTTTTGGTAAAAATGGTAAATGTCTTTCTGAAACATATATTAATAGTTCTTACCTTTATTATGGCATTATTCTGAAGGGCATGAGTGGAATGCATCTTTTCACAATTTGAAAAATAATAAGATGTGATGTTCATATTGCGTAACTAATAGGCCTTGTACATTTGAAGATGCAAAACAATTGGCTTATAATAGAAAGGGAGCTTGTCTTTCTGAATATTTATTAATAATCATTCAGCTTTATTATGGATGTGTGATAAAAAGCATAGATAGTTTGCTACTTTTGATAACGTTAAACATTCAAACTCATGGTGTCCATTCTGCCTGAAATATAAAAGAGAAAAGCTATGTCATGAGATTTTAACGAAATACCTTAGCCCTCCTTCACTAATCCGCAGGCCTAATTTCTTAAAGACACAAGAATATCCAAATGGACTAGAACTTGATATATTTTATTCGCAATATGGCTTTGCAATCGAAGTACAAGGTGTACAATATGAAAAATATTATGAATTCTTTCATAGAGGAGATCCCAATAATTTTATCAAACAGCAAGTACAGGATCAACTCAAGAAAGAATTATGTGAAGAAAAATGTATTGCCCTAAGGTATGTTTGGTATTACAAAAACCCATATGTAATTATTTTAAAGCATCTTCGTGAATTAGGTCTTATTGAGTAAACTTAAAACTTTAATTACATTCAGTAAGACTTGATGTATTTATTTCTGGCAACAGTATTTAGAATCAAAACTAAATATTACTAATAAAATAGTTACTAAAGCTGTTGTAAAAAAAGTACAAAAAAATAATAGTACAATAAAACATCAGATAATTCATTATAATAACCACGAGTAAACTAATTATAATTCTCATTTAATTTTTTTCGTATTTGACTTGCTTCCATCTTCTAAATTTTCATTTCCATTCGACAGATAGCACTTTACCAATTGTCTATTTGCTTCATGAAAGTTATTGTAATGGTGATCGATTCAGCGATAGCTTTCAAGAATTAAAGCATCCTAGAATTTTTAGGAGATAAGTTTAATGCACAATCATAACTATAGAACAGCAAAATTAAAAAAAAATATTCTTACCTGCGTGATTTTTAATTCCTCCTTTACGAAGTCCTTCTTAGTAAGAAAGTCAGTTAATTGGACTACTTTTCTTCTATGGATCTTTTTCATATTTCGTGATGCCTATTGCGTCTGATGAAATGATGTTTTTATTAACTAATATGGAAATAAATTATATAAAAAATTAAGCATGTGAAGCAGATGTAAGATTGAACTTTTGGAGATGAGGAAGTACCTCTTCTCATGAAAAAACATCTCGCCTTACAAGGACACGCCTTGCATCAAGAGAACACTATCTCTAAACTTTAATTTGCTAAAGTCAATCGGACACAAAAATCTCTCTAGGGTTAACAAAATACGAACTAGTATATAAATGAGGATCAACCCAATAACTAAGCATACAACTAGCCTACAAACAAACAGTTCATCTACAAGCAAACAGCTTACATAGATAATCGGTTCTTAAGCTATATCTTCCTAATATTCTAGTAAAATGAATAACATCACCTTAAGTTGATTCTCCAACTGTACTAGACGTAGTTGTGCAGGGTGATCTTTTGAAAATAATCCTATCAAAGTCTCAATCTCTTTTTTAAATAAATTATAGACGCAAACTTTTTTTATATCATGCAGATATTCTGAAAATTCATGGAGACTCAGCTAGCTATCGTAATGTTTGTTCTAAAGTTCTGTAAGAATGCGAAAGTGAAATCATAAGTAAAAAATATCATAGTAATAAATATGTATGCAAACCTTACCATAATAGCGAAGGAGTTGAGAGGCATTTTCGGGTAGGTGGATATCTTTCGGAATACTCCTAGAAGTTGAAATTGATGGTTCATTTGCAAATGACGGATTCACAACAACTTTAGCATTCTCATCTTAAAGAGAAGACGATTGTTGGATTGTTTGCGTGATGGGAGAAAAAGTAAAGTAAGTTTGAAATATTCGATATTATCAATAAAATATGACGACAAACAAATATCAAAAAGTTAATCTACAATATATCAAATTTTGTTATATTTTTTTTATTACAAAGAACTTACCGACGGCAACGAGGTTTTCCACAATAACTTGAGGTGATGTTTGATAGTAAGAAGTTGGAAGAACACTGAACGTCAAAATTAAAGACCTCAAGTAGGTACATTTCTCGTCGTTCGTATCCAAATCATCAAAGCATGATAACGTATAAATTCGCCTATTTCAGATCTGATTCGCATATGATTGGCAGAATGTTACTATTTAAATTTAGGGGTAAAAATTTCAGGATCGGCAAAATGTACAAAGCTCTTAATAATGATGTAATAGCACAAAAAATACTTGATAAACTTAAAATGCCAAGACAATATCGAAAATAACATTTTGTATAAATAACATGTAATAAACACCAAAATCTCACGCTACTATGTCTAATGTAGATGTTATTTTAATATAAATTGGTTCACTCATAAAAACCTTCATTTAGACCTTTTTCACGCTATTGGTGGAAAGTTTCAAGTATTTCTGACTCAAAATGTGTTTAAATAGACGTGATTTTTATATAACAATACATATTTCCACTTTAAATAAAATGTTACCTGAATATTATTGTCAAAGTGATAATATTTTTGTTACAGAAACAAGTGCAACTAAAGCAATTTCAAAAGCTTATCAAAATATTTTTAAAACTAAAACATAATATTCCAGTCATATTGTTCTTGGATGGAATAATAAAAAAAATAATCAATATTCTTTTAACTAATATTGATTTTTATTTACTTTATACTGACTTGGTGATTATGAAATATTTATTTATGAATTAGGCTCATCTACACATTTGGATTGGAATAAAGCAGGCAATAAATATATAGTGCATGAAAAAAATAATAAGAATGATATTTTTGTTCATCATGTAATGAATATTTATTAAAAATTCATGAAAATTTAAATATAAATGCTTTATTATATTATAAAAAAGTTTAACTAAGCTTAATTAATAATTTATTCTATTATTATTATCCTTAATTATTTACTCTAATCTTGATGGTATATTTTCAATTAGATTAATAAAGATCTCTAATTTGATCCCTTCCTATTCTTTACAAATAATATCTTGAAAGATATTTACAGTAATTGATTTTTTATACCTCTTTAATATGTGTTATAAATTCTCTATAGGGTTGATATTAGTACTATTTGATGGCTAGTCTAGCTATTTAGAATAACAATCTGAAAGAAGTTTCTTGATATCCTTAACTGTATGTTTTAAATTTTTATCCTGTTGGAATACCCAATAATAACTCATGATAGAATTTGCATTATCAAAAAGATTTTCATTAAGAATTTTTTGATATAATGCATCATTTATTATTTAGTAAAAAAAAAAAATCAAATTTGACTTTTTTTTGAAAAACACCCTACATATGAATTTTATAAGGATGTTTGACCATAGGTTTTATTAGTGACTGTGTGCAAAATACTTTTTAGGTATTTTAAAAAATTTGAAGTATGATTTCATCTAAAAAAATGACTTTATTTCAATTTTGTCTTTGATATTTTATGGCAAATTCAACACAGTATTACTTATGAAAATCTGTAAGTAAGAAAATTGTTTTTGAGACTATACTAATATAATTAAGTCTGTAAAGTTTATTGAGCATAGTTCTTTTGCTTATATTAAGGTTAGAATGTTTTTCATTTAAAATGTTTGTTAACTCAGAATAGATAGAAAATTTGTTTTCTAAAATAAGGTTTTTAAGATGATAATATTTTTTAGAAAAAAGCCATTTTGGTCTTTCTGGATAAGATAAAGGCTCTAATAGAATATTTTTTTCAAGTTTTTTTATATATTTGTAGATTGTAGAAAGTAAAATAGAGATTAAAAAATGTAAAACTTTAGCGTTGTAGATACTATTTTTTTATAATATAACTATTATTGTATAATATGCAAAAAAAACTGTATATCATATTGTTAGTGATAAATTATAACTAATCATAAATAAATACGTAAATAAAAAATAATTAATATTTATAAGTATATTTATTGTATAACCAGGTAAAATTATTTGTTGAATGGATGTTTATTATAGGAATTATTTAAGTTTTTCAGCATAAAATTTTTATTTTCATTATTTTTTTAGCGTACTGTAAATCATCAATAATTTTTTTATGTAATAAGTATTTAATTATATTTGTATCTGAAATCAATAATGATAAATGCTATATTAATATTTATCAAGATTTTGAATTTTAAGAAACATTTATGAAAGATACTTCAGATGATGTTTGAAAAATTCAGGTTGTGTTCAAAATTTTTTGGAAAAATAATTATTTAGATTGGAAAATCAGGTATATTACAAATATTATGCAAGTTATATATTTTGTAATATACTTTTATGAATAGAGAGATTTTAAACTAATAAATTAATTATATAAATATCATCTTCAATGTTTAACTTTTTCTAATATTAATTAGTATAATTTGTTTATTAGATGAAAATAAAGTGAGTATAATATAATAGAATGTTTAAAATTAAATTATTATATCTACTAGAATATCAATTTATTGCTCATGAACTAAATGCATGGTCATTAATACTTTGTGCTACTAGATATACTAATATTATTCTTTAAATACATGATAATTCTAAGGTATAATAAATTTAAGTATTGAAAAATCACAGATATATAATAATAAAAATAACTTTAAATTTAATAGTACTAATTTTGAACTAAATCATAAAACCTAATACAAGAAAAACAAACGCTTACTATTCTTTATCAGATGGAATTTTTTAACAATAATTCTTTAAGTTCTGCAGAAACTTATTAGTCTTATTTTTAACAAACTTTAAAAAATAATAAAAAACTAGAGATAAAAAATGCCAAATTTTATCAATTATATCTAATGATTTTACTTATAAAGAACTAGAAAATAATTTAGAGATAAGAATATGATTTTACAATATTACATTATAAGTATAACTAATTATTATAATTATAATATTATAGGTTAGGACTCTTACTATTATTAAATCAAAAAGGCATGTTATATTAAATAGTTTAAGTATTTTACCTTTAAAAAACTAAAATTTTATCATATAAAGCTTTATATAGGCTGATACTACGCATTTTAATAATTAAAAACATGTGATATAATAGTGATTTGTGTAATAAAATAACAAATAAAAATCATAATCAACAAATCAGAATACAAAGATTTTAACTCTTTCATATTATCTATCAAGGCAGGAATTGGTTAGAAATTAGGTTTAGATATATATAATAGAGTATTTTATGCTTAATATAAAATTAATTTGATATATTGCAAAGCAAAATTACAAATTTTTAACCTATAATAAGTCTTAATTATGGAGGAAAATTGTGAACAAGTAGTATTTATTTTTTATTTATATTATATTATATATATATATTATATAATACACTTAAAAGAGTAAATATTAAGTCTATAAGTAATTTATTTTCATTATATAAAAAATAATAAATATTGCACTTTTTATTTTAATTAATTGTAAAATTTTGATAGAAATAACTTCAATGATAGATGAAACCTTAATATGATTATAAATTATTTTGAATTATCTTAGTAAAAATCTACAATTTATTTGAATTTTTATGATAATTATACAATTTATTTTATATTTTAAGAACCCAAAACTGAATTTAATAATAGCAATTAAAAACTTTAACCAAACTTATTTTTATTTGTAACTATTCAATAGGTTCTTTTATTAAAATAATTTATTATGAAGCTAATAGAAAATAACATGAAAGAAGTTACAATATTTTATTATTAGGCAAATATTTCTTAAATATTAAATATATACAGCATGGTAAAAAAAATTCTATTGTCTATAAAATACAAAGTGAAGATAGTTTTAGATAGGTTTCTAATAATTTGTGAATATAATTATTTACCTAATAAAAAGATCAAATATTTAATTGAATAGAAGAAGAATAATAATGTATCTAAAATTATTTTAAATAATTAATCATTTTAGGTGTAGCAAGTGATTATTTTTCGTTTTATACTAAAAATTAAAAGCTTTAATTTTTTTAGATTATTAGTATTTTTATATAAAGTTGTTTGATATTTAATTAAAATTTTTTAAATTTTTAATAATTATCATTATTTTATTAATAAATATTAAGACTAGATAGAATTCTTGGTTTAAATTTTTAATTTAGATGAAAAATTATTATCAATATATAGTTACATTTTTTATTGAAGAATCTGTAGAAAAAAATTTCTAATGCTATTAAAGAATTAAAAGAGATATTTCAAAACAAAGTCAAAGTTTTTATATAGATATTTTAATCAAATTTATTTTATT